GATAAAAGTTCACAGTACAAGCACACGACGCTCCCTGTTCCAAGCGCGAGAGGCGGTGGACGCAGGGCTGCGCCGGCTACGCTTCAGCGGCAAGGATCCAAGTGTGGCGCTACATTGTTGAAGATGTTCGTGACCAAGGCCTAGGCCTGGTATAGTTGTCGAAATTTTCTGAGAAATGGTACGGTAGTATTTCGTTGTTATTTAGTAATTAGTGTCCAATCATAATTTAATTAGGCTTAAAAGATTCGTCTCGTAAATTTCGTCTAAACTATGTAATTAATTTTATTTTTTATTTATATTTAATGATTCATGTATGCGTCAAAGATTCGATATGACGAGAAATATTAAAAAATTTTACAAAATTTTGAGAACTAAACAGGCACCTCGTGCCCGTGGGTGCTAAAGCAACGTCGTGAGGTCGGAGTACCCCGCCGAAATCCAGTCGTTGCCATCGCCATAATAATGTCTGTGCAGACCGTGGCATTCGAAGTTCAATCGGTTATATTATGATATTATATTTTAATGCTGAGTTTAATGTATATGTTCAGTGGCGGAGTCAGAAATTATATATAGAGAGGTCGGTTAAAAAATTTTAAAATATGAGAACTGACTGTGCATAGGGGGCTAGTTGAAAATTTTTAGAATATGAGAATTGAATGTGCATGGGTTTTTTTGAAGAATTTCGAAATATGATAATTGACTTTAGCTTACTTGTTTAGATTCTTCTCCCTGAGTTAGGCTCTTATTTTTCTGTATTTATTCTTCACGTAGTAGACGACCGTGTCTATCAACGGTGGGTCACATGTGATGACTCATGAATATTGGAATTTATTTCGGAAGTGCGTATACCGTGTTAGGTGACCATGTTTATCAACAATGAGTCGCATGTGATGACTCATAAATCTTAAAATCTACTAGCTTAGTATTTCGAAATTGCTCAGTGGAGTAGGATGTGTGTGTTGTTCATAGGAGTGTTTGTACTTGCATATATGTGGGCACCTATATACTGCGATTCACACTAAAAAAAGATGGTCACCGAATTGTTATTGCTAGTTAAATACACGTTCAATAAAATATAAAGTATAATGAAACATAGGTATTTTAGTAAAACCAAAAAATTTAATAGATATGTTCTAATATGGTAGGCAAACAAATTTAGATAAACTAAAATATTTTATTCTAATAATTTTTTGTGTGATTTGTTGTCTAAACGATATCAATAATCATATATAACAAGATTTTCTTTATTGTATTTTTAATACAAACATAGACTATTAACTATATATATCTATAAAGATTAATATAGTTGTAGATGGACGGATGTGCACATACTGTTACACTGTCCATGCCTGCCCGTTAGTTAGCCAGTAATGTTGCTTCACGAACCTTCTTTGCCTACCCAAAAAAAAAATCACCGCTTGCTTCGCGAACCTTCGTTGCCTGCCCAAGCAAAAATCACCGCCTTATCCAATGCGCAGCCACGGCTCCCTTATATAAATAAATGTGTATTGTTAGGGGGCGAATTGGCTCCACTGGCCCCCCTTGGCTCCGCCACTATATATGTTTGATATACTCTCTTACTAAGAAAGAATATAATTTTAGCACAGTATCATGTTTTAGTATTTTAAGTTGGACCAATTAATATTTATAATACCAAATAAATATCATTGGATTAATTATAAAATGTATTTTTATAATAAATTGATTCGAAGCCACAAATATGAATACTATTCACTACAAACTTGGTCAAACGTGAACTATTTCTACTGGCACGCAACACATAGTTGCATTCTTTTTTTGGACGGAGAGAGTAATAAATATTTTGTATTTGTATGTATAAATTCATTTAAACTTGAGATAGTTTAGCTTAAAATGACTCTAGAATTATATCTAGGGCGGAGGTAACAGAGTATTCGGATATGCCATGTTGGCTCATCGGTACACCTTTGCTTGTTTGAATAAAAAAAAAAAGTCTATCGAAGAGCGATGGATGGATCTTGTTGGCATTGCAGGGGCAAATAAACCATAATTGCTCTCAAAGACAAACACATGACAGCATCACTATGGATGCTCATGGATGCAATGCTTAGGACAACGTGATTACTATATATACTCCTAAGTACGTGCTTTTGGCAACACTCAGGGCCTGTTTAGTTCCACCCAAAACCCAAAATTTTCTGCGTAGTATCCATCACATCGAATCTTGCGGCATATGCATGGAGTACTAAATGTAGACGGAAAAAAAAACTAATTACACAGTTGGGTGAGAAATCGCGAGACGAAACTTTCGAACCTAATTAGTCCATAATTATACACTAATTGCCAAATACAAACGAAAATGCTACGGTACTCAAAACCAAAAAATTTTGCCAACTAAACAGGCCCTCGGTATAGCAGGTTTCTGAAGGCGATGACGAGAATGAGATGCCTGAAAGTAGGGCCGTGTTTAGTTCACGCACCGAATCGGCGCCGCCAAAATTTCGGTGTACTGTAGCTACAGTACCGTTTTGTTTTTATTTGGTAATAATTGTCCAGTCGTTGACTAATTAGGCTCAAAACGTTCATCTCGTAAAGTACAACCAAACTGTGCAATTAGTTTTTAATTTCATCAACATTTAGTACTCCATACATGTACCACAAGTTTGATATGATGGGGAATCTTCTTTTTGCATAGTGTCAAATTCTGGAATTGGGAGTAACTAAACATGGCCTAGCACGGACGCGCTGAGAGCCTCACTCAGCAAGTCAGCAGCACGTCCTCCTCGTCAGTCTCCCGGCAGTCGCCGCCGTGGATCGCGGAACCATCTGTTTCCTAGCATTTTCCGCGCAAAACGCCAGGGTGTTCCAGCCCTACGCACCGCATGACCAGCCGCGAAATGGATACCATATGGCATATAGGAGTACTGGGCAAGAGGACTCCAGGACAGGAGCGAGGCGAGGTAGCTGCTCCGTTCCTGCCTGCCAGCTAGAAACAACGACGGCTATCAAGGAAGCGTACGATCACAGCAGCATATGAGGACGAGTGGGTAGTCAATGCCTCGTCAACCGGTTGCTGGAGACGACCAGAGGGCCTACACGGT